GATCTTACCGCAAACGAAGCCGCGGCGAGGACCGGTCTGGATCTGGTACTGACAACGCCCGCCGGCAGAGCCACCACGCGGCACACCACCCCGCGCCCGTCCACCGCCAGCGCCGGGCCACCCTGGCGGGAGAACGCTCGTCTGCCGCGTCTGCGACGGCTGCTGCGGCTGCTGCGAAGGCTGCGACTGCGGCGGCTGCTGCGGCTGCTGCAACTGCAGGGGCGGCGACTCAGCTGGACTGGGCAGGGTCCCCTCGTCCGCTCCAGCACCAGGCGATCCGACCCCACCACTACCCCCGCCCGCACCCCCGCCGCCCCCTCCGCCGCGCCCAGCCTTGGGGCGGCGGCCCTTCCCAGAACGGGCCTGCGCTGCAGCAGCAGTCTCAGCCACTGCGGCAGAGCCGTCGGAGAAGGTACAGTGAGCGGGGGCACAACCCTGAAAGATAGGGACCGGCACGACACCGCTCTCCTGGGCGATGGAGCGGTGACGGGTCTCTATCACAGTCAGGGTGTCGACAAAGTCAGTGAGGGTGAGGTCTGCGGGGTGAACACTAAGGAAGCGTTCGCGGGCGACAGCAAGGCGGTCAGGGAGGCGGCTGGCAAGCAGGTAGAGGGTAGAGGTAATGGGCGGCTGGTGGGCTCTAAGCTGTGCGTCAGTGCAGGCGGCGCGCCAGGTCTCCTCTATCGAGCGCAGGTGGGCAGCGAGGTCAGAGACAGTGGGGAACGAAGCAAGGTCAGGAAAGAGCAGCGGGAGGATCAGGCGACCCACGGAGGCAGCCGGAGGGGTGGAATAGCGCTTGATGACAGCATCTAAGTATGCCTGAGCAGTAGTGAGGGACCTAAAGCGAGGACGCTCGGACGGGGGAGGGCGTTGCTAATGGCAAGCTGGGCGACAGCATCGCGAGAAAGCCAGACAGAGCGCGCACGGGCAGTGGCAGCAGTAGACTCACGCTCAGTGGGTGTGGGGTCAGCGGGCAGAATAGCAGGAGGGTCTGGGCAGGGGAGCGTACCGTCAAGGTGTGCGGAAAGCGGTTCACCATCCTGCCGCTGGCCAGTGAGTTGGCGGCGGAGGTCGGCAAGCCACGCCTCGAACTCTAGGGGCTGACCTTCAGCGTCGAAGGGAAGCTCCGCCGCCATCAGGAACAGTCCAGTGCGGTGCAGGGCGGTGCAGTGCGGTGCAGTGCGGTACAGTGCGGTGCAGGGCGGTGCAGTGCGGTGCAGTGCGGTGCAGTGCGGTACAGTGCGGTGCAGTGCGGTACAGTGCGGTGCAGTGCGGTGCAGGGCGGTGCAGTGCGGTGCAGGGCGGCACGGAGCAGGGCGGGTTGGGGGGGGGGGGAACCGTACCAGTGAGGAGGACGGGGCCGGGGCTGGCCCGACGGGGCCGGGCGGGCGCGACGGGGCCGGGCTGGTGCGACAGGGCCGGGACGGGGCGACGGGGCCGAGCGGGCGCGACGGGGCCGGGCTGGGGCGACGGGGCCGGGCGAGTGCGGCAGGGCCGGGCCGATGCGACGGGGCCGGGCGAGCGGGACGGCGGCCGGGCTGGTGCGACGGGGCCGGGCGGCTGCGACCGGGCGAGCGGGACGGCGAGCGGGGCCGGGCGAGCGGGACGGCGCCGGGCGGGCGCGACGGCGCCGGGTGGCGGCGACGGCGCCGGGCGGGCGCGACGGGGTCGGGCGGGCGCGACGGCGCCGGGCGGGCGCGACGGGGCCGGGCGGCGGCGACGGGTACGACGCGGCCCAGGAGGGGCGCTACGGGGCCCAGGAGGGGCACGACGGGGGGCCCAGGAGAGGCGCTACGAAGCCCAGGAGGGGCGCGACGAGGCCCAGGAGGGGCGCTACGGGGCCTGGGAGGGGCGCGACGGGGCCTGGGAGGGGCGCGACGGGGCCCAGGAGGGGCGCGACAGGGCCCAAGGAGGGCGCGATGGGGCCCAGGAGGGGCGCTACGGGGCCCAGGAGGGGCGCGACGGGGCCCAGGAGGGGCGCTACGGAGCCCAGGAGGGCGCGACAGAGCCCAGGAGGGCGCTACGGGGCCTGGAAGGAGCGCGACGGGGCCCAGGAGGGGCGCGACAGAGCCCAGGAGGAGCGCTACGAGGCCTGGGAGGAGCGCGACGGGGCCCAGGAGGGGCGCTAGGGGACCTGGGAGGAGCGCGACGGGGCCTGGGAGGGGCGCGACGGGGCCTGGGAGGGCGTTACAGGGCCCAGGAGGGGCGCTACGAAGCCCAGGAGGGGCGCGACGAGGCCCAGGAGGGGCGCTACGGGGCCCAGGAGGGGCGCGACGGGGCGCTACGGGGCCTGGGAGGAGCGCGACGGGGCCCAGGAGGGGCGCTAGAGGGCCTGGGAGGGGCGCGACGGGGCCTGGGAGGGGCGCGACGGGGCCTGGGAGGGCGGTACAGGGCCCAGGAGGGGCGCTACGGGGCCCAGGAGGGGCGCGACGGGGCGCTACGGGGCCTGGGAGGAGCGCGACGGGGCCTGAGGGGGGGGCGCTACAGGGCCAGGGGGGATGAGCGGAAGCGGTAGGTGGTGGGGGGATCCTACCTACGCGTGATACCATATCAAAATTTAGAATTGAATGATTGTAATGTGGGAGTACACACAAATATATCTAAGTTTTGTATCCTCTAAGAGGTGACTCTATATAGTCTATACAAACATGACAAATACACATGTTTGACAAAAAGGTATATAAACAGAAACGAACTGCAGTAGAACCAATTCAATCAGCGTTGCACGAACTTGAAACAGTGGCGCAAACTCTGATTCACAAGGTATAACTTAAAGCGCATCAAAATAAAGTAAATACATATGTACATGAAAGACAACTCTGTAACTATTTCTAACAGTAATAGATGCAATGACATTGTATGTACTTTTACTAATGCACTGATATGACATACACCATCGATTGAATATTTCACATAGAATATATGAAATAAATATGATATTTTAACAGATACTTTCGCATCAAAGCTTGATAATTAGCTTAAGCATATGTATTCTACTCATATATATACATATATAGGCTCTGCAACCCTAAGACGATTGCGTCGTCTCTTGTTTATTTTTCAGCATGAAAAAATATGTAGAAACATAGTAATCAGCAACAATTATCATTTATTTGGCCTCGCATGTCGTTTTTCTAATGATTTCGGCACAAATGAATCTCGCGAGACAGTGGGCTGTTTCTAGTGAGTACAATTTTCTCCCCAGCCATCTCCTCTCCAGGTACTTCAGCCGCACCTGCCAGACAAATTTCATGATTCCACCCTCCCCCTTCTGTCGGCGCCTAGCTTACAAGCAAAATTCCTCCCTCTTTTTTCGGCGACGGGGCCGGGCGGGCGGGACGGCGCCGGGCGGGCGCGACGGGGCCGGGTGGCGGCGACGGCGCCGGGCGGGCGCGACGGGGTCGGGCGGGCGCGACGGCGCCGGGCGGGCGCGACGGGGCCGGGCGGCGGCGACGGGTACGACGCGGCCCAGGAGGGGCGCTACGGGGCCCAGGAGGGGCACGACGGGGGGCCCAGGAGAGGCGCTACGAAGCCCAGGAGGGGCGCGACGAGGCCCAGGAGGGGCGCTACGGGGCCTGGGAGGGGCGCGACGGGGCCTGGGAGGGGCGCGACGGGGCCCAGGAGGGGCGCGACAGGGCCCAAGGAGGGCGCGATGGGGCCCAGGAGGGGCGCTACGGGGCCCAGGAGGGGCGCGACGGGGCCCAGGAGGGGCGCTACGGAGCCCAGGAGGGGCGCGACAGAGCCCAGGAGGGGCGCTACGGGGCCTGGAAGGAGCGCGACGGGGCCCAGGAGGGGCGCGACAGAGCCCAGGAGGAGCGCTACGAGGCCTGGGAGGAGCGCGACGGGGCCCAGGAGGGGCGCTAGGGGACCTGGGAGGAGCGCGACGGGGCCTGGGAGGGGCGCGACGGGGCCTGGGAGGGCGTTACAGGGCCCAGGAGGGGCGCTACGAATCCCAGGAGGGGCGCGACGAGGCCCAGGAGGGGCGCTACGGGGCCCAGGAGGGGCGCGACGGGGCGCTACGGGGCCTGGGAGGAGCGCGACGGGGCCCAGGAGGGGCGCTAGAGGGCCTGGGAGGGGCGCGACGGGGCCTGGGAGGGGCGCGACGGGGCCTGGGAGGGCGGTACAGGGCCCAGGAGGGGCGCTACGGGGCCCAGGAGGGGCGCGACGGGGCGCTACGGGGCCTGGGAGGAGCGCGACGGGGCCTGAGGGGGGGGCGCTACAGGGCCAGGGGGGATGAGCGGAAGCGGTAGGTGGTGGGGGGATCCTACCTACGCGTGATACCATATCAAAATTTAGAATTGAATGATTGTAATGTGAGAGTACACACAAATATATCTAAGTTTTGTATCCTCTAAGAGGTGACTCTATATAGTCTATACAAACATGACAAATACACATGTTTGACAAAAAGGTATATAAACAGAAACGAACTGCAGTAGAACCAATTCAATCAGCGTTGCACGAACTTGAAACAGTGGCGCAAACTCTGATTCACAAGGTATAACTTAAAGCGCATCAAAATAAAGTAAATACATATGTACATGAAAGACAACTCTGTAACTATTTCTAACAGTAATAGATGCAATGACATTGTATGTACTTTTACTAATGCACTGATATGACATACACCATCGATTGAATATTTCACATAGAATATATGAAATAAATATGATATTTTAACAGATACTTTCGCATCAAAGCTTGATAATTAGCTTAAGCATATGTATTCTACTCATATATATACATATATAGGCTCTGCAACCCTAAGACGATTGCGTCGTCTCTTGTTTATTTTTCAGCATGAAAAAATATGTAGAAACATAGTAATCAGCAACAATTATCATTTATTTGGCCTCGCATGTCGTTTTTCTAATGATTTCGGCACAAATGAATCTCGCGAGACAGTGGGCTGTTTCTAGTGAGTACAATTTTCTCCCCAGCCATCTCCTCTCCAGGTACTTCAGCCGCACCTGCCAGACAAATTTCATGATTCCACCCTCCCCCTTCTGTCGGCGCCTAGCTTACAAGCAAAATTCCTCCCTCTTTTTTCTCCGCAATTTACGCCAATCTCCGTCGCACAATTTTCCAGACAATCTTTTATCCATACTCCAGCGCCGGGCTAAATGAGACCCACTTCTTGAAACCCACACCGAGGCTTCTTCCCTCGGCATGCCCTCGCTTGACGACGAGGCGGAGGCCTCCCGTCTCGTCCCGCCCCCACTGGCAGAGCATTCCCCCGACAGATCTGACGGCGGACAATCCGCGCACGAGCAGGCATACGAGACGGCAGACGAGCCGGCAGACGCGATGGAGGACGGCAGCAGCCTGCTGCGCAGCAGCGACGGGGAATCGGCGGGAACCGCGGGCGGCGGTGGCGGCGGCGGGCGCGGCGGGGGCTCCTCCTCCGCCTCCTCCGCGCTCCCCGCGTCGTCGAGCCGCGTGCGGAGGCCCATGCAGGTGGAGCGGCACGACGACCTGGAGCCGCGGTCGCGCCTGTCGTCGTTAATCGACGTGGCGAAGCGCAACCGGCTGTCCTTCGCGGCGGTCGCCGCCGTGGCCGTGGTGCTCCTCGGGTGGACGCTCTCGCTGCTCGCGGGGCTCCTGTCGCCCTCCTCGAATTCGCCAGGTAGTGCGGTGGTAGCTTCGTTCAGTCGTTCGCTCAGCTTGGAGACCGTTCGTGCTCTGACGCCGTGCGCGCCTTGCATATTGCCACTTCGCCGTGGCGGCGGCGCCCGTGGCCGTGGCCGTGGCGCTGCTCGAGTGGACGCTCTCGCTGCTGGTGGGCTCCTGTCGCCCTCATCTGATGCGTCAGAGGTACCTGCAGCCGCTGTCAGTGTTGGGAGAATCCTTGGCCGCTGGTGTCCGTGGCCGTTGGTGTTTTGTAACGCCCGGAAAACCGAGTAGCCGCAGATTCGTAAAATTATCTCGTATTCTTCCCCTTCCCTTCCCCCTCCCGCCCACCCCCCCCCCCCCCCTTCCCCCTTTTTTTCCCCCACTCCCTTCCCCTTCTCACGCCCTTTCCCCGTCCATCTCGTTCCCTCGTCTCCCCCCCCCCCCTCTTTACTGATCGCTTGCGCCTCATACCCGCAGACCTCAGCGCAGTGGCAGCTCTAGCAGCGGCGTGGGGGGAGGAGGGGGCGGTGGGCGCAGCGGATGGGGGCGCGGGGGAAGGGGGAGGGGGAGGGGGAGGGGGAGGTCGGTGTGCGGTGTACACATTCTTTGACCTGAACAGCGTGCAGGGGAAGCTGGAGGACGAAGAGAAGTGAGTGGGGAAAAGGGAGGCGAAGGGGAGGGTGTGTTAGAGCAAGGGAGGGAGGGTGAGGGAAAAGGGGGTAGGGGGGGGTCGTGGGGGGGGGGAGGGGAAGGAGGAGGGGGAGAGGTTGGGATTGTAGGATGTGGGGGAAGGGGGCAGCTTGCTTCTAGCTGCACTTCTAGAACTCCGTGTTTTTCTTTCCAAGTCATATCGACCTGTGACGGAAATGCCTCACGTGCAGTCCTGATTCACACAACCACCCTCACCCACTGCCATCATCCCACCCACACCCCATCCCTGCGTTTCCGGTGCTTCTTACCCACCCGCACACCCTCCCCCTGCTTTCCCCTCCCCCCTCCCCCCCCTCCCCCCTTCCCCCCCTTCCCCCTTCCCCACAGGCTGGTGACGTCATGGCAGCTTAGCTGGCACCGGGCGGGGTGGGCGCCACACGTGCTGCAGAAGAAGCATGCGGGGCGGCACCCGCTCTTCCCCAACCTGCAGCAGCGCGCCAAGGCTGGCAACTGGGTGAGTCCGATGCGAATACAGATACTGTTATGCTTGCAGTTGGGTGATGGGAGGGTGGGTGACTGGATGGATGGGTGACTGGGTGGGGGTGGGTAGTGGGTGGTGGGTGGGTGATGGCTGGTGGGTGGTGGTGGCTGGTGGGTGGGTGGCTGGTGGCTGGTGGGTGGGTGGTAGCTGGTGGTTGGGTGGTGGCTGGTGGGTGGGTGGTGGCTGGTGGGTGGTGGTGGCTGGTGGGTGGTGGTGGCTGGTGGGTGGGTGGTGGGTGGGTGGTGGCTGGTGGGTGGGCTACGCGCACCCATGTGCAGGGATGCCATGCAGTAGGCGCCATCTTGCGTACCTATAAGCAGGGGTTGGTCTCGTTTTGAGGCGTGCTAGTCATCCTCGTGCATGAGCCATCCCACGGAGCTGAGAGCATCGGCCGGGTTCCTCCTTCCTTGGTGAAGCCTCCCAGCCACGTGTGGCCGAAGTGCACATGCGCACGCATGGGAACAGCCTTTTTACACATGCACATCGCATGGGATGTAAAAAGGCTGTTCCCATGCGTGCCAGAGCAACCAGGGTAACAGCAGGAGGGTGGCATGGGCTCTGGAAAGCATGGGCGGGCGCTGAAAGCACGTAGAGGGCTGGAGGACCAAAGAAGTGAGTCTGGAATCTGGGGCTGGTGAACATGAGCCTGGGGGGTATGTGGCTAACCAGCCTCAGGCATGTGTGCAAGGACGTCCATCTGCTTGCCTGCCTGCCTGAGCCTGCCACTCCAAGGTACGGCTGGCTGGCTGGCTGTCTGGTTAGCTGACTAGCAGGAGGAGGGCGTCTTTGCCCTGTAGCACAGGTGGTCCGCTCTCTATCTGACTGCCGATGTGCTTTGATCTCGAGACTTGGCCGCGAAACATGTCCGGGAGGACTGGTGGTATGCCAGGTACTACAGCACATGCTGGTATAGTTATCACAGTCGAGCCGAACCTCATTCTCCACCTTCTCCCTCCCTTCCCCCCACACGCACCCCTGCCCTGCCGTCACGCTTGCATGGAGGATTTCATGCAGCGGTGGCTAGCCGTGGCAGTGTGGGAAGAGGGTTTATCCACGCACGTAGTCTTACAGTCGACCTAAACGGCATTCCCCACCTTCCTCCCCCCTCCCCACCCCCAACACCCCGCACCTCCCCGCCGTCACCCGTGCATGCAGGACTTCATGCAATGGCTAGCCGTGGCAGTGTCCGGGAGAGGCCTGTACGCGCACTACACGGTTCTACAGTTGACTTACACGTTTTTCCCCACCTCCCCTCCCCCCACCATACCCCCCAACACTTCTCCCCTTCCCCCATCTGCTCTCATCCATGCATGCAGGACTTCATGCGGTGGCTAGCCGTGGCAGTGTCCGGGGGAGGCCTGTATGCGCACTACACAGTCCTCAACCTGGGCCTGCCGCCGCCGCCGCACTGCTTCCACTCTGCTCTCACTGTCTACGGGGTAAGAAAGCGTGTTCCTCGTTTTGAGGCGCCTCAAAACTACACTGTCTACGGGGTAAGGAAGCGTGTTCCTCGTTTTGAGGCGCCTCAAAACTACACTGTCTACGGGGTAAGGAAGCGTGTTCCTCGTTTTGAGGCGCCTCAAAACTACACTGTCTACGGGGTAAGGAAGCGTGTTCCTCGTTTTGAGGCGCCTCAAAACTACACTGTCTACGGGGTAAGGAAGCGTGTTCCTCGTTTTGAGGCGCCTCAAAACTACACTGTCTACGGGGTAAGGAAGCGTGTTCCTCTGTTCATGGCCAGTAGTGGCAGTGTGGGGTTGAAGGAATGTGTGGAAGAGGGGAGAGAAGGGGGGGGGGGGGGGGGGAGGAGAGGGGGTAAAATGGGGGAGGGAGGTGGGGAGGAGGGGGTGAGGGGTGGGGCCCTGTTTGTACGCGCACTACACTCTTATCAGCCTGGGCCTTCCGCCCGCCTCACTGCGTCCACTCCTCTCTACCTGAGTAGGGGTAAGAAAAAGCGCATGGCCAGTTTAGCTTCTCAGGAGTAACAGCATGGCATCCCCACTCTCCTCTCCCTCTCTCCCAGGACTGTGTTACCTCCTCAAGGGTATGTGGAAAACCTCAGGACTTAAATGCAGTTGCTGTGTGTTGTGTACCCGATGAGAGTTCCTTCTCACAGCATACATGATGTGTTTTGTTTTTGAGAATTCTCAAAAACAAACGACATCCCTGCGTTCCCATAGCATCCCCTCCCTCTCCCTCTCCCTACCCCCCTCCCGCTGTCTCTCCCAGGACGCCTCTACCGTGTCACTGGTCTCAAAAGTCACCTGGTATCCGGCAATCCTCTGGACGTTGTTGCTCTAGCTTGCTCCTCCCTGCCTGCCTTTTCAGTCTACCCACATTGCCCCTTCTCACCTTCCTAGCTTTCCCACATGCCTCCGTCTCCTCTCCTCCCCTACTCCCACGTCCTGTCCTGACCCCACTCTCCCAGGGCGTCATTATCCCCTCGCTGGTATCCGGCAAGCCCCACGACCTTGTTGCTCCGCTTCCTAACTTGCCCACCTTTTTCTCCAACTCCCCCACTCCCACCCCCCATCCCTTCCCCTCTCCCTTCCCCCCTCCCTTCCCCCCTCCCTCCCCCCCTCCGTCCCCCACCTATCCTGCCCCCATCTCCCAGGACGTCACTACTCCCTCATTGGTATCCGGCAAGCCCCAGGAGTTTGTAGCTCTCGCGCGCTCTTCCCTGCTGCCCTCTGGGGCTGACCTGGCAGCGGCCCGGGAGCTGCCCCTGCCACGTGGCATCGTGCGATTGGACCAGAGCACGGCTCAGCAGCTGCTAGTGCGCGGCAGACTCAAGGTGCGACTTGTCACTTGATACCATACCAACAATGTCGAGTGCAGGGTATTGTTGTTGCAGCAGCTGTTGGTGCTGCTGCTGCTGATGCTGCTGCTGCTGCTGCATTTGCCAGTGCTATTGTGACTGCCATCACTGCGACGTTTGCCACTCTGGCCAATCCTTCTTCTGCACATTGCCAAGGCACTATAAAGATGCACATCTCACTGCCACTACAGCAAAGCTCGTCAATGACTGGTCATGCCTGTAGCCCTGGAGGCAGGCAACCTCATGTCCCTAGCAACACTACTATGCAGCAGCTTTAGCAGCACCTCATGTTCCTGACGGTGTTCCCACCACCAACCCATCCCTCACCCCCACCCTCCCCTTCCCCTCACTTGCAGTCTCCGTAAGGTGCCCTGGAGGCAGGCCACGTGCGACAGTGCAGGCACTCACGCATCCTCACGAATGCTCGACCCTGTCTCTCCTCCTGCCCGTTACCTGGTTCTTTTCATGGATGCAGAAGGAGCCCTGGAAGCAGGCCACACCGTTGCTGTGCCACAGCTTCTCTCAGAGCACGGGTTCCGGACTAGGCGGCATGCATTCAGCTCTCATGACTCATGCTCCGCCCCTTTCTCCTCGCCCCCTTGTCCATCCATACAGAAGGAGCCCTGGAAGCAGGCCACATCGCTGCTGTGCAGCAGCTTCGCTCAGACCACAGCGTTCCAAGCCGTGTCGCTGCCAACGCTGGGCGGCATGCAGGCAGCCCTGGAGGACCTCAAGGACTGGATCCGCCTCTGCCCCACACACACCACGCCCCTCCTCTCCGACCACATCCCCTCCCACCTCCTCCCCTCCTCCCTTACCTCCTCCTCCTCCTCCTCCTCCTCTTCCTCCTCTTTTTCGCCCCCCGCCCGTTCACTCACCTACTTCCTCCTGCCGCACCATGCAGCGCTCTACTTCGCAGCAGACTACGAGAAGTACCACATCGACCCCACCACTGGTGCGCCCCAGTGGATGAGAGACATCTACGGAGAGGGCAGCGTGCCGGGGGGCCTGACTTACAGCGAGTTTCTCATTATCCTGAACAACGCGCTCATGGGGAAGAACCCTGAGGAGAAGAGCGACCCAGACCTGGATGATCGGTTGTCCAGGGCGCTGGCTGCCGTGCTGCATGTGGGGATGGGGGAGGTGCCTGAGGAGGTCAATAGACGCAGCATATTCCTGGCAGATGACTCTTCTGGTGCTGCTGATGCTGGTGGTGCTGCTGCTGCTGCTGGTGCTGATGCTAGTGGTGATGATCCGGTTACAGGTGATAATCCTGCTGCTGATTCTGCTGACACCAATGCTGCCTCTGCTGCTACGGGAGCCACCCAGTCCCCCTCTCCCCTCTCCCTCCCCCCCAACCTCATTTCCTTCGGCCGGTTCGACGAGCCGCATCTTTCCATCCCCGTTTTAGAGCTCTCCCTGGGGTTCCGCTTAGAGGAGCGGCAGCACGACGAGCTGGAGCAGGCGATAGGGCACGTGTGGGAGGGCGTGGAGCACTTTGTGGGTGCGGTGCACGGGGAGGCCAAGGAGGAGATGGAGCGGCACAGCCGGGCGGACCAGCGGGTGCTGGATGTGGTGGACGGGCGCTTCAGACAGGCTGTCAGGGTGGCCCAGGCTTTAGATGTGTGAGGGGGGGAGGAGTGGGGGGTGGAGGGGGCGGGGAAAGGGTGGAGGGAGGGGCTGAAGCGAGATGAGGGAGGGGAGGTAAAGGGTGCTGGATGTGGTCGAGGGCAGGCAGGCCGTCAGAGTGGCTCAGGCGTTAGAAGTGTGAGGGGGGGGGTGGCTGGGAAAGGGGGAGATTGAGGGGGGGTGGGAGAGAGTTGAGGCAGGCAAGGGGAATCAGTGCAGGTAGGGACTTGGGAGGGGAGGCTGAGGGAGGCAGGAGGGAGGGGGTTCAGGGGTGGGATGGCTGGGCTATAAGTGGGGTGACAGGAGGGAAGGAGGAGATGGAGCGGATGAGAGGGTGCTGGATGTGGTGGATGGGCGCTTCAGGCAGGCCGGCGGGGTGGCTCAGGCACTGGACGTGTGAGGGGGGGGAGGGGGGAGGAGGGAGGGGTTGGGGGAAGAGGAGGGGAGATCGAGATGTGGGGGTGGTTGGGGGAGAGGATGGTGGTGGCTAAAAGGGTTTGGGTGCTGAGGCAGAGAAGGAGAAGAGGGGTAGAGTGAGATGACTCAGGAAGAAATTGGGGCTAGGGGCACACTCTGTGGGAGCGGTGGCTGCGTGGGGAGATGGGGCGCAGCATATTTGACAATATTGCAAGGGAGGAAAGTTGCATTGCATGTAATTATTTTTACAACTTATGGTAATCACGGTCAGGTAGCATTCTGTTTCAGCTGCGCTATTAATATCGTAACACAACATGCAACCCGAAGAACTGTGCTAGGAAGTTTTTGGTGGAGTGTGAAGATCCCATAAGTGCGTGATGGTTAGCGGCACTCACATTGCATCGCGACGCATAAAATACAAGATGGATTTAAGCGAAAGAGGGCAAAAGGAAAAGGGCACGGGAAAGGGTGATTTGGGTGCTACTAACCACCCTAAACATTGTACACATCTAGTATGTGGCATCTAACCTTCTTCTGGTCTCCCTCCCCAACCCAACCTCTCATGCAGTCTACTCCCATCTCCCCCAACAACAACCCCCCACTCCTATACTTGGCCTCCATGCAGTTTGCTCTCTTGCTGTCCCCATGGCAGATCTCACCATAATCTCCCCCTCCTCCTTGTCCCCTCCTCCTCCCATCCTCTCGCCTCCTCTCACCCCCCTCACCCCCCCTCACCGCCCTTTCTCCCACATCCACGAGCCAGTCAACGCCCTCCACAGGTCAGCACCACCCGCACCTGCACCAGCATCCCCGCTAGCACCAGCACCTTCTGCTTCTCCCTCTTCAGCACCTGCCCGGCCCCTCCCCACCCCTCCCACTCCACCACCAATACCAAGCCCACCACCAGCACCATCACCGCCACCCAGCTCATCACCCAGCCCACCCCCCATCTCCACATCACCACACGCAGTGGCTCTGTTCCGAAGGATCAAGCTCCCTCCCTCCATCCCTGCTCTCTCTTCCACGCACACACTCATGTCCCTGCTCTGCCTTCCACCGCTACTGTACCTTCCCTCCCTCCCCTCCCTCCCCTCCCTCCCCTCCCATGTGTGTCTCCCCTCCCTAACATCCCTCCCCTGCCGCTCTTCCTTGCTGCATGCGGAGCTCTCTCTTGACAGCCACAGGTGCGGCCCTATGGCATCATCATCCGTGTCCACGTCCTCATACTCGTTATAAGCACCCCCAGAAAACAGATGGCTCACTGTCAGTGTAGCAGAGCGCGTAGCCAGGCTCATATCCCGGCTGAATCCTGACACCAGCCCACTCTCTTCCCCATCCTCCTCCCCTTCCTCCTCCTCCCCATCCTCCTCCTCCCCTCCTTCTCTTACCTCCTCCTGCTCCTCCTCCTCTTCCACTCCTTCCCCTACCTCTCGTACGTCTAGTTCCCCGTCTTGTTCCCTCTCCCCCTCACACCCAACACCCGCACCAGCACCACCCCAACCAGGACTAAGGTTCTGATCTGTTTGCAAACCTTGCACCAGCTGCTCTGCTGCTACATCCACGTCCACGGTCCGGTCTCCCAGCACTGCCTCCTGGCTCGCATGCCATGTTACTCTGCGCTCCAGAGCCTGCTTCTCCACTGCACCGCACCCAGCACTCATGACACCCCCATATACCCCTGCTCTCCCTGCCTCTCCTGCCTCCCGTCGCTCTCCCTCCCCACTCCCCTGCCCCTCCCTACCTCTCTCCCCCCCCTCCACCGCCCGTGCGCGCCCCCTGATGCCCTCTATCACCCGCCCCTTCCACGAAGGTGTAGTTTTCAGGCGCCTCAGGCCCGGGCTCCATTCCAGCACAGACAGAGCTGCAGGAGAAGCAGCAGCACCAGCACCTGCTGCATCACTGGGAGTACCAGCACCAGCACCAGCACCAGCACTAGCAGCAGCAGCAGCAGCAGGGGACAGCCCGGCAGATACACCCTGAGGGCTGGACATCGACACAGGGATGCCTGCCAGTCGCACCCTCACGTTCCTCCAACTCCACGGGCTGCTGGCGCTGCTCGCCCCACCACCACCATCCGAGCCCTGCTTTTGCATCTCCCTCTGCACTTCTCTCTGCGCCTCTCTCTGCGATTCGCTCTGCAAACCTGCCAGCCATTCCTTGCCACCGGCTCTCCTGCCCCTCCCTGCTCGCCTCTTCTCCGCCTCCGCCCTCCCCACCTTCCGCGCTCTCCCCTCCTCCCCATCCTCCATTCCCGCACCTCCCTCTTCTCCTCTTCTCTCCCGCTCCTTCTCACTGAAGGCCTTCCTCAGGCCCCGCTGCATGCTCCTGCTCAGACTTCTCCCCTCGTACCACCTTGGCGCACTGCCACCACGAGCATCATCCCCCCCCACAACCTCCTCTTTCTCCCACCCTCCAACACCACCACCAGTTCTCTCGCCCCCATTGTTCTCACAACCACTACTACCACCGCAACCACCACCAGCAGCACCACCACCACCGGCACCAGCAGCAGCAGCACCACCACCACCTGCACTCCCTCCAGAAACAATCGCCACACCTTCCTCTAGCTCTTTCCTAATAGCCATCAGCCGCGCCAGCACCTTCCTCATACACGGGCGGGCGCGCTCCTTGTCCGCCGTGCACCGCATCGCCACATGCACCACCGCCTCCACTGCCACCCCCTCCGCTGCTCCCACCAGCGCCCTGGTCAGACTTGCACAGTCCAGCCGCAGCAGGTGCTCCTGCAGCGCTCTCAGCTGCCCCTGTCCCTTCAAGGCACCCCCGTTGCTCCGAGCCTCCTCCTCGGAAACTGCTTCCTGAGTCACCTCGCCAGGCGATCCTGCCTCAGTAGGTGATGCTGGCGGGAGTGTCTTCTCCAGCCACACCCGCATGCCATCATCGTTGCCCCATACTGCCAGCCGTGGGTCTGCCAGCAGGCGTGGGTCCCGGGCCTGGAGCAGCAGCAGCGCCCACAGACGGATGGGCAGAGCAGAAAACGCAGGCGCAGAGATTGCTGCTGCAGCAGCTCCAGCACCAGCAGTGTTACCAGCAGCAGCCGCAGCAGCAGCCAGTGCAAGGTCGCTGGGTCTGGTTACCACCGCCGGCCGCCCTGTAACCAGCTCTAGCAGCAGCACGCCCATGTCATACACATCACCCAGGTGGCACCCTGCCCCCGGTGATGTATGCGCTCCCCCGGTGCCAGTGCTGAACACCACGACCTCTCCCCCACCTTCCCTCTCCTCCCCCACTCCCCGCCTCGGCCCTCCCTCCCCACTGCCCCGTCTCCTCCCTCCTCCGCCCACGTCCTCCCATCATCCCCCACACCGCGTATGATACCACTCCCTCCTCTCCCCTCTCCTCCTCCTCCTCCTCCCACCCCTCCCCACCCACCTGCACCCTCCCCACCACAGCAGCCACTGCACCGCTCCCACTCGAGGCTGCTGCAGCAGCACGTGCTGCCACTGGTGCACGACGACATGCGGCTCGCATCCCTAGGAATTCCGCCACTGCTCATGGGGGATCCAGAAGCTCCAGCTGCTGCTGCGGCTGCTGCTGCTGAAGCTGCTTGCCCTTGCGCACCCGACAGCTGCAGATGCTGCTGCAGCCGCTGCCGCTGCCTCACCTCCTGCGGCACCAGCAGGGAGTCCAACAACCTGGCAGGCAAGAGCTTCGCCTCACCAACATCACAACTACCATTGTTCTCAGTATCGGCAGCAGAGAGCATGACGTGGTGAGAGGACACCCTCCCATTCGCCAGGGGTTTGCTGGCTGCCGTGTGCAGGTACTGCAGCGCTTGGGCCACACCCACAGCTACATCCAACCGCTGCCGGAGAGACAGCGAGGGAGAGGGAGGGACGCCGGCCAGCGATGCGGATGGGGAGGAGGTGCTGCTGAGTTTGCTCTGAGCGCAACTCCTGTTTCCATGCAGCACAGAGGCTAGAGTGCCTCCAGCGAGGAACTCAAAAATGAGAATTCTCTCGCCCTGCTCCTCGCAGCACCCCACCAACTGCACCATGTGCTTATGGTGAAGCCATGCCACCCGCCTCACCTCCTCTTCTAGCCTCACACTCTCTACAGTCACACGCCTGGCCTCTTCCTCGGCCTCCCTCCCTGGAGTTGCCATCCCTGCCTCTCCTTCCCCTCCTCCTCCCATGCTTGCTGCTTCCGTCCCCAGTCTTTCCATTCTTGCTCGTTTCACGGCCCACGGTTGCCCTGTAACCGGACACTCACCCCTGTACACCGCACTGCACTCCCCCTCACACACCACCCGCTCCTCTGCAAACCCATCAGTTGCTGCCATCACTTCTGCCAGACTCATCACACGCACCCGCTCCTCTCCCCTCCCCTCTGCGCCTCCCTCCTCTCCCCGCCTCAGCTCCCTGCGCCCCCTGCTTCCCCTCGCACTCACTCCTCTCCTCTCCCCGTCCTTCCCTTGCCTACCCGCACGAGCAGCACCGTAACAACCACCTGTGGCGATCGTAACGCTGCTGCTGGTGTCCCCACTGACGCTGCTGTCTTTCGTGAACGTACCGCCAAACATGTTGCTGGTACCAGGGCCGCTTACTAGACTGTTGCTACTAGGGCTACAGGCCGAGCTGGTGCGCGGCACATTTCTCACTGGGACACCCGCTCCTTGCTGCCACTCTTGCTCCCTCTCCTTACTTTTACTGACCGCTTGCTCTATCTCTCTTGTCCTTCCCTCCTCATCTACTTCCTCCTCCTCCTCTTCTTCGTCGTCCTCACCTTCCTCCTCTTCCTCCTCCACCTCCTCCTCCTCCCCCTCCTCCTCCACCTCCTCCTCCTCCCCCTCCTCCTCCACCTCCTCCTCCTCCCCCTCCTCCTCCACCTCCTCCTCCTCCCCCTCCTCCTCCACCTCCTCCTCCTCCCCCTCCTCCTCCACCTCCTCCTCCTCCCCCTCCTCCTCCTCCTCCTCTTCTTCCCCTTCCCCCTCATCTTCGGAATCAATAGCAACGGCAACGTACTCTCCCTCCCTTTCACCCGCAGCTTCCGCCTGCTCCACCTCTCCTCCCCTATCCCTTCTCTGCCCGCTCCCCTCCTCCTCTCCCTCCTCCCCTTTCCCCCACAGGAGCATCAGGGGCAGCATCCATGACAGGGAGCTACCCGCAGCCGCAGCAGCACCACCAGCACCAGCACCAGCACCAGCACCAGCACCAGCACCAGCACCAGCACCAGCACCAGCACCAGCACCAGCACCAGCACCAGAACCAGCACCAGCACCAGCAGCCGCAGAACGCGTAGCAGGAGCAAGCGAAGCACCAGCACCACTACCAGCAGCAGCAGCGGCAGCCGCAGCAGCAGCAGCAGCCGAGCGGGGAGTGGTGGGCGGCGACGGCAGGTGGCAGACCGGAACCGAGATGAAGGGCAGCAAGGACAGCGTGCGCCTTGAATAGCTCCTCCCACTGCCCGACCGCACACTCGTGATCCCCCCAGCGCCAGCGCTGCACACGAACCTCCCCTGCTGCCCGCACCCCTGCGCCCGCTCAGCGCCGCTCCTCCTCCCCCGCATCCCGTCCGCACCACCGGTCTCACAGCACGTCGCCTCGGCCACAAAGAGATCCTCTGTATCAGCACCAGCACCAGCAAGGCGGGACGGTGACACACCAGAAGGTGTCGCACCCGTACAACCTACTGCCACACTCCCGCTACGACCCTCCTCCACACTGGTACCCCTCCCGTATTCAGTCGCCCCCCTTCCATCATCGCCCCTCTCACAACCACAAAGATCACCCGAGCTGGCCCTGCGGTCTCCCACGCAGCAAGCAGCAGCTTCCTCATCCGTTCCACTGTCTCCTGTGCACCCGGTCTTTCCATCCGCGCCCTTTGCGGCGGCTTTCCCGCCGAGCAGCCAGCTCAGAATCGCCAAGTCGCGGGGCCACCGCGTACCCTCGCCCTTGCCTTTGCCCTCGCTCGCAGCGAAGAAGGAGAATGATCCAGGCGCACTACTATTCCTTCCCTTGCAGCTGCCATCCTCCTTATAATGCTCCTCAATAATCCCACTCTCCCCGTTCGAAGCATCGTTGAACTCCGACCAGAGGGATCGCACAGGGTACACGTCGGTAGTGGGGGGGACGGGGGACGCCCCGCGGAGAGGGGCGGCATGCGCGGACCCCGCGCACTTGGCAATCACCGCGTCCCCTTGCAGTGCAATCCGCGCGCATCCCTCCAAGCAGGCGCAGGGACTTGGCGGAAGGGAGTCATTGGTGGGGGTGGTCTGGGCGGCCCTGCACCCGCAGCACAGCGACCAGGGCCCCTTCACGCGATGGTGGCGAGGGGAAGTTACCTCGTTACCACCACCGCCTTCGCCACTGCCGCCAGCGCTGGTGGTCCTGTCTGCGCCACCTGCTGCGGCGCCTGGCGGGATTTTCCGCCGCCCCCACGCGGGGAAATGCGCACCAGCGGGGGGGGAGGTTCGGGAGTAGCGCGTGCATACGAGGAGAATGAGGACGAGAAGCGCGGCTGCCGCGGCGACAGCACATGCTGACACGACGGCGGCAGATGCTGACGTGGAAAGATCGCCTATGTGGAAGGATGACGACGAGGGGGAGGGGGAAGTCTGGGATGGGGGGTAAGGTAAGGGGGGGGATTCGGGGGAGGCGGAGAAGGGAGGGGAAGGTCTGGGGTCTGGAGGGATGATCGCGGGAGGGGGGGAAGAAGCAAGGGCCGGAGAATGCGTGGGTGACTGCACCGGGGCAGGAGAGAGCGAAGGGGGCGCAAGCGAAGGGGGCGCAAGCGAAGGGGGCGCAAGCGAAGGGGGCGCAAGCGAAGGGGGCGCAAGCGAAGGGGGCGCAAGCGAAGGGGGCGCAAGCGAAGGGGGCGCAAGCGAAGGGGGCGCAAGCGAAGGGGGCGCAAGCGAAGGAGGCGCAAGCGAAGGAGGCGCAAGCGAAGGGGGAGTAGCAGGCGGCGGGGCAAGAGGAGGCGGAAGGGAAGGCGGAGCAGGAGTAACTGCAGGGGCGGTGGCGGGTCCCTTGGCGGGGCCGGGGGACATGGCCGGGGGCGGAACAGAGGGCGTGGCTGGCGGAGGGAATGGCGGGGTTTGCGGAGGGCTGGCAGGAGGGGGAGTGGCTGGCGGAAATAACGGGGGGCTGCGCGACGGCGGGGAAAGATCGTTGCTGGGGGCAGGAGGCGGAGGGGGCGTGATGAACGGCCAGCCGGGAAACATGACCGGGGGCGGGGGGAAGCCGGCACGGAACCCACCGCCGCGGGCGGAGAACTTTCCGCCGATTGCGGGGCGGGCGGGGAGGGCGGGGGAATGGTGGGGAGAGCGGGCGTACTATTGGCCAGTATATCCGTGAGCGGTGTTGCGGGGGGGTTGAGTGGGTACAGGGGTTCTGCGGCGATGGTAGCGAAAGAGGAAGAGGAGGCGGAGGAGGCAGAGGAGGCGGAGGAGGAGGCTGAATCAGCTACTACTGGAGAAGGGTTCTCGTACGGTGATGCCTGCAAGTCTTGCCCCACGGCCACGGCATCCCCCACGGCCACCGCCGCTTCCCCCACAGTCACGGCGTCCCCCCTCGCCGCCATCATCCCTTTCACGTGCAGCGTGCCCGCCTCGCGTAGGAAGTCCGCGTTCGTGCCGTCACGGCCACGGCCACCGTGCACTCCACCGTGCACTCGCGGCAGCCCGACAGCCAGGGCCCGACGGCGATCGGGATGGGCGAGCGGCGCATCGTGTGAGTCATGCGTCTCGCGTCGAGGAATACCAGAAGATGCCTTCGCTGAAGCCGCCTCTCCGTATTTCTCTCCTCCTCCTCCTCCTCCTCCTTCGCCTTCTGCTCCTCCGTTTCCTCCTCCGCTTTCTACTTCTCCCCCGTTCCGCTCCGCTTTCTCCTTCCATGCCGCGCGATCGTTATCCGCGTGATCATCCCTTTCCTCTCCGCCGATCGTTTCCGCAAGCGCTGCTACCCGCGCGCTTTCCGCTTTCCCGTTGCCGCTGCTCCCATCCCCCCCTCCGCCGTCCAGTTCCCCCGCACGTGCCGCCCACGCGAGGGACGAGCGGCGGGGGAAGAATGGGCTCGACTCGGCGCGCAGTGCGGAGCATCGGGTGGTGGAGAGCAGCGGTAGGAGGAGAAGGGCCCATAATATAAAGGGGACTGTCAAGGGTAACTGAGAACGCGTGCGGCTATAATATAAAGGCTTTTGCTCCGATAATAGCCGATTCGGTTTAGTTCGATCCGTCACTGGTCGATTTAACGGCACGAGTCGAGAATCTGCGGTGATCGGCTGAGACGTGGCACTTCCACGTGGCACATCATGCACGAGACGCACCGGCGTCCAGGGTTTAAGGCGCCGTACAGGCGACGGCAGGGTCATGATGGTGTTAGCGAGGGAGATCCCGCGCGATGGTTACTAGCTCGAAGAGGAGTAAGGTAGAGCATCAGATTGCATCCGTCGCACGTTTCGCCATCGCTCCGTGCGTATTAGTAGCTAAACTATGGATCGTGGATCGTGGATCGCTCCTATGGATCGTAGGCACGGATCAGAGGTTTGCGCCGCCTGCACGAGGAGGGATCGGTCGCTGCGTTAACTCGCCGAGTTAGGACTTACTACGGGCTGGCTGCCTAGATTGCTCAAACACGCTGGCTGTTCATACGCGCACTGCGAGCTATAACATGCCTACTGAAAGCCAGGGGAGGCAAATCCCTTCTGAATGTCATTTGGAATGCGCTAGTGCGAGACGGTCAGGTTGGTTAGGAACGCGAGCCGATCCTCTCGCTGGTCGGATGCCTCAGAATTGAGGCCACAGAGGACAGTTTCAGTAGGCCGTTTCGGCACCACCGGTACGGGGAGCAACCGGAGCACTGTGATCGGTGTTGATCGCTGCACGGAAGAATGCTTCTGGTCAAGGAACAGCGATCCTCGGAGTGTGAAGTAAATGCCTAGGCTTGCTGGGAAGAAACCTCGTGTGACTACTGTATTTCCTGTGGGGCAAGGTGTTCGATCGACGGTCGAGTCGACCTAGAGAGCAAGCAAGGCTCCAGTGACAGGGATTTCATTCATCGCCTGGCTGGTGCGGCTGGTTCGCCCTCTGTCGGGCCTTGATCGCAGTCAAATCGAAATGCGAGCAGGCGAAATGTCAGCCCGAATCGCATTTCTTACATTCTGCGGTTCGGCTCCCTTCCCCATAAATGCCAAGCCGCTGCCAGTAGCCGAAGCGCGACGTTCCCCATTGGCTCGAAATTCACTTCATGCCAGCTGCTGGCTTGACAGCTGAAGAGCAAGTGACCAAGCCAAGCCAGACCGACCAGCTCTGACAACCAGCCAGGTCAGCTCCGCAGAAAACCAAGCCAGCTGACAGCTTCCGAAGGACATCACCCGTCTTACATAAAAGTTATAACTTGTCATAATCACTTGCTAATGGATAGGTGTAGAAAAAGGTTGTAACTCCACACTACATTCCTAGACACGCACAAATGGGTAGTCACACACACGAGCATATATGCACAAGTACAAGCAAACTTGCAACGTCTAAATCTCAACTTGGTCTGTCCACCGAGGCTTGAAAGGCATATGGATGATAACCATTCGGTCATAGATTGATCAATGCCGATGCATCTTGACAAATATCACAATAATGATAGCGAGGATGAGCACAATGAGGATGAAGATGGAGATCCACTTGTTGCGGTTCATGCGCCGTGCCATTGAGTTGAGGATCTGACGGCCACGATCGATGCTTGCATCCACACCATACAGCTGCACCCATGGATGTTGCCAACACGGGAAAGGTGGGTCGATATAGAGCAGGAAGAGGGGTACACCAAACCAACACGGCAGGCAAAACCGCAAGACGCAGAATTTAGGCGGAAACCAGGACACCTTCATTCACCTAGCCTAAATCCCCAAATACCAACAATCACTCACCGTGTACCTCGCACGTAAACTGCTGGCATCCATAACCCCATACTTCACCTGCACACCCCAAACCCATTCCCCCCACGCCCACACATCACACATCACGCGGGCCCCAGCTCACGTTGTCGCGTGCGCTGAGCAGGGTCTGGCGTTGGTTGTGCAGGTCCTCCAGAATGCTCACTCCCAGCTCCTCTGTCTCCAGCAGCGCACGCTTGCTCGCCTCCAGTCTCTGCGACGACTCCCCCAGCTGCTCCGTCGCCCCCAGCAGCCGCATGCGCTGCGCCCCCGTTGCCTGCACCCCGCAGCGAGGGGACGGGAGGGGTGAGTGGAGTGATGGGGTGGGAGAAGCAGTGCAGAGGGCAGGAAAGTGATGTGATTGGGGTAAGAATGTGAGACGGAACCACGGGATGCCAGGCTGGGGATGCACGATGAGAAGTTCGGGGTATAGAGGAGAGGGTGGGTGGGGGGGTGGACAGGAATGAAGGGGCCACAAATCAGTGCAACGATCCGACAACCAGTTGCACGTCAAACCGCGGGCCCATCCGTTCCATCAATCAGCCAAATGCCCAGTCCGTGTTTCACCAACCATCAACCCTTCACCCACATCAGCTCACACCAGCAGCCAGTCCCTCACCCAGCCCCCACCCACTCAAACCACTCAAACCACACAACACACCGCACCACACGTACCGCCAGCTCCTCCTGGCTCATGCCCTCTCCCCCCTGCCCCCCAGCTCCTCCCGCGTTCCCCAGCAGCTGGTCCCTGGCGGCCTCGTTGGCGGTGGCAGCAGCATCCTGCAGCGCCCTCTGCAGGTCGCGGCGGAGCGTCTGCAGGTCCGCCTTGTACTCGCGCAGCTTCACCAGCAGCGCCGCCTTCTGTGCTGCCGGCAGGCTGCGCGCCTCTAGGTCCATGCGCCGGATCTGATGGGGGGGGATATGGGGCCAAACGGGGGGGAAGGGGGAGGGGGAGGGGGAGGGGGAGGGGGGTAGTCGAAGGGAGGGGTGGATAAGCGAGGGGTGTGCGGATGAGAGGGAATGGAGTAGCGCCTTATGCTCGCACAGCTTCGGTAGTCGGAAGAGAGAAGAGGGAGAGGGGAGCAAAGTAGATGGAGGCGAATTCCGTGGTCGAAGAAAGTCGCATTATTTGGTTCACAAAGAGAGCCGTTTTCTTGAGAAAGCAAATTGAGACAATAGTAGCAGACGGGAAGAGGCGCAGAGGGGGAGGCGCGAAGCGGGACTTACAAGTGAATCGGCCTCTTCCAGCGAGGCATTGACGTCCTTGGCTCGTTGCTCCCTGGCATCTGCACCGTACGCACATGCGCATGAATGCAATGCACGACAGACGTGCACGGAACATGCACGGGACATGCACACGACAGGCACACTACATGCACGAGACATGAAGACGACATCGCGCTACCAAGCCTCGCTACCAAACGTCGCACAACGAAGCAAATCACTATAAGGCGGGTCACTACTAAGCGGAGAATTACGGACCAGTGCTCCAGAAATCGGAAGTGACTGGCGTGAGTGGAGTAAGTGGCTAGCTTATTGGCAGCAGCATTGAATTCGTGCAAAAGGACTTTCGCTGAGAAACTATCACTTGGCTTGCCGATCCGCCCTCGACCAGCTTATTATCTCCTAACGAAACATCGTGTCAGGATGCAGCGACTTCAGGAATCGTACCTGCCGCTAAGGAAGGGATAGCCGCTGCTTGACGCTTCGCGTTCCCCGAAATCTCGCAGTACCGCCTCTCGTATTCCCCGAAGACTTCGCTCATCTTCGCCTGTCGTCTGTCGCTGAAGCTTGGAGGAAAATACTATCGCGGAATCTGTTGGTCCTTGAAGCTTCAATCAGGGTCTCCTTCTGCTAACGTCTTGGGTAGAAGATGTTGATCAATCACTTCAGAAATCAGAATTATTTTGCAAGTAACCTGCCAACTCGAAGTCGCTCTTTAGGAAGGGTAGAATTCCTGACTATCGAGGGAACGTGAAAGCAGCAGGCGACCAGTCCGCAACGTCTGGTTCCGAGGGTCGCCTGGTCAGACCTTATGAGAGCAACGACCAACAACGGTGGCTGGAAGAGGCGATGAAAACGCCGGATTCTGCTGTAGAGAGTAGAGAAGGTGCTGCAGCCAGCCAGCATATGTGAACAAATCCAAAATCGTGAAGACTGCAACACCTGCTCAGTTCATTCTGGTTGTTCATGCAGAAGTCTTCAGTTCAGAGACAGACTGCATCGCAGAAAGGGAAGCCTAGGGAAATGCGTGAGGCCTGTCTTGGAGTTGGTGAATCCATGAGTTGGTGGTTTGGTTGGTGGTGGTGTCACGCAAGGGAGCACAAGATCTAGGGTTTGGGTTGGGCTGGGTTGGGTCTGGTTAGGTTGGGTTGAGATGTACTTGCTGTAACCCGAATAGTATTTCGGTGGCAGCGGGTTCGGCGAAGAAAAGCGAACGGGCAGAGGTCAGCCAGAACGAGCAGTCGCGTAGCGGGCACATTGGCGACTGCGAAATATGACGGAACCAGAAAGGCTTGGCGAAAAACAGCGAAACGACATAGCCTTTCCTGCCTCTGCCTGCGCCCCACGTGGAATGCACGAACACTCCAAACACACGGCGGTGGCGGGCGACACCAGCCACGAAAACCGAACCCCCACAACAGTCACCGTTGCCGCCAAATCTGATTTTGTTTCATTTGCACCCTTCAGAGTACACAGTGGCATGCCTATACAGTACAGTGATGGAGCCCAGAACTAACACACTGGTATGTACAATGCAACGTTCTCTACGACTATGGATGAGTTTATGATAAATCATGGAGGGTAAAATCCGTACCACACATGCTTACTGGTGTTGCTAAATATTTCACACGTGTAGCTCATCTCCTTCCCCTCCCCCCCCCCCCATGCCGTGAACCTTCTCACCTCCTCTTTCCTTTGAAAGCAAGTGAGGTAACATGCATGGTAGCATAGCTACACTAGCCTTAAGGCCTAACAATGCAAAGGCCTAAAATTTCCTGCCATTCGAGAATGTAAATAAATACAATTATGTAGATTAGCTAGGTTATATTTGCATATAGCCTAGTTAGTTTAGTTCTTATAAAGTACATCCCTATGTCAAAGTAGCGAAGCGTACTCTAGCAATGCATACAAAGTGATATAAGGGTTTGGTATTGGATATGTATAGTTGAGATCCATTGGATATGTATAGTTGACACACCCCCTAGGCTAGATAAAGGGCAGTGCCGAGCAAGCAAAACGCAGCTCAGGGCGGCACTACTAGTCCAACCTCTGAGGCAAGGGTCCGAAGACCAGTCAGAAAGAGTACAAACTCATCAAGAGTAACTCAGGGCAGCACTACTAGTCCTGCCTCTGAGACAAGGGCCACAAGGCCAATCAATATAATTTAATAAGTAGTACACAAGTCAGGGTCCTAGCAAGTGAGGAGCTATTGGAACTAGACCAAGCTGTAAGCTGATGATCTTTAGACGCAAGTGCCTTGGTAAAGAAATGATTTGTATTGGCACCGGAGGCCAAATGTACTACACGTGCCTGGCCGCGTTGCTGTAGCTCGCGCAGGAGGAAGTACTGCAGCTGGATGTGCTTTGCTATGCCCCCTAATTGAGCTTGCTGGCACAGGAGGATCATGACCCTGCTGTCAGCGTACACGACCAGGGCAGAGCTAGGCAGCTCACCTAAGTCAGTGAGCAAGAACGTCAGCCAGCGGAGCTCCTGTGCCGCCATGGCACCAGCGTAGATCTCAACCTCACAGCTGGAGTGTGCTACAGACGACGAGTGGGTGGACCTCCACCAGATAGCGCCTATACCAAGGCTAAAGTAGTAGCCCTGAGAGGACCTGAGCGCCTCAGCGTCGTCTGCCCATGAAGCGTCTGTGTGTCCTGTGAGAACCACTGGCATGCGTCCTCCCAACACTAGCCCCATGCTTGATGTACTTGCTAGATATCACAACACCATCTTAGCAGCCGACAAGTGCTGGGGTCAGTATCTGCCTGTTTGCAATAAAGCGAGCGAGGACACTAAGAGGGTATGTGAGATCTGGATGAGTACAAGTCATCAGGTAAGTGGGACAGCCCACAAGCTCTGCGTACTGACCACTAGGCTCGACCGGCTCTTCAGGGACTAGAGTCGAGAGCCTCTGATCAACAGGCAGAGGGGTGGGCTGTGCGGAGGAGAACTGAAGGCCGAACCTCTGAAGGACCTGGCACACCAAGTGTGACTGTGAGAGAGTGATGGTGCGCGTGGCTCTGTCCCTGGAGATTTGTAGCCCGAGGTAGCGGCGTAGTTCTCCTACGTTAGTGCAGGTGTGTCTCATCAGCAGCTTGGCCTTCACCAAGGCCAGCGCGTCTCTGCCTGCAGTAGCAAAGACCAAATCGTTTGCGTTGACTAGGATGTAGAACAGAGTCTGGCCTGAACGAACGAAGAGAGACGGATCAGCAGAGGACGGAAAGAACTGGAGGTCTGCTAGTGTAGCACGCATCGTATCGTGCTACTCACGGGGTGCCTGCCACAGACCGTAGACCGGGCATCGGAGGAACCACAGGGTCTCAGGAGGGAAAGAGCCAGTGAAGCCTGGCAGACGGTGCAGGTAGATCTGCTTGTGCAGACTGCCCTAAAGGAACGTAGTGGAGAAGTCAAGCGAGTGTAGCTCGTAGTCGCGCTGTGCTGTTATGTAAAGCGGCGCCTGAAGAGTGATAAGCTTTGGGGTCGGGGTGAAGGTCTAGAAGAAGTCAACCTTCTCGTGCTGACCGAAGCCTCTAGCAACGTAGCGCGCCTTGAACACCGGCGGCTCTTAAGGAGGGCGCTTTACCTTGAAGAGCCACGGCCATCGACTACGATCGCCCCAAGTGGGGAATTGCGTCGACATACGTGCCGGTGGATCTCCAAGATACCATCTGTGCATCCATGGCAGCTATCCACTAAGAAGCCCAGGGTCCTGAAGTCGCCTCAGCGTATGTGCGAGGGGTCAGGATGTCAAGAGCTTTTGGGTCACCCTCAGGGGTTAGCAGCATGGAGCAGAGATGAGGCACGACCTCCGCAAGGGAAGCTACTGTAGCTCGTATTGCCTGTCCTCTAGGACGTCACTGCTAAGGGCAGGTGCACCCCCGACGAATGGAGAAGGGGGAGGGTCGGAGACCAGAGCAGTGGCGTAGTCACGGCGACGGAAGTCAGTGATGACGGCGGCAAGAGCCGAGAGACTGGAGACACGAACGGATGGGTCGGTAACAAGGAGGCGGGTACACGAGGAACAAGAGGGCGAGCAGCACGGAGGAGGTTAGAGAAAGGAGGCGAGGAGATAGAGAGGGACGACTGAGGAGGCGATGGGAGAACAGGAGCGGGAGGAGCACGAGACGCGTGAGAATGAAGAAACACAGGGTGGACACTCGGAATAGGAGAGATGGGGCGAGCACGAGAGGGACGATGAGACCACCAGCTGGAGGTAGACTTCGGGTTAGGAGACAAATGAGGAGACACAAGGGGAGAACGAGGGGGGAAACAAGCCGGGGACGAGTCCGGCGTGGGAAAAACGGGGCCGTAGATGGGAGGCAGAGGTGGCGCTGGGGGAGGAGTGGGCGGTCGATCGGGAGAGGGAAGACCAAGGAGGCGAAGGGTGGACACTGACTGCTGCTGGTGCGGCGACTGCTGCTTCTGCTGCTGCTGCCGCTGCTGCTGCTCCGCGCCCACACCAGGACCTCCAACGGAAAGCGGGTGGGGAAAGCAGGTGTAGAAGGAGACAGAAGCACTGGCACAATAGAAGTGGCCAAGCAGACCGGAGGCGAACTTGCCACCACGGTCGGAGTGGAGATGAAGCACTGGCTGGGTACAGTGAGCTCGAGCAGCTACAAGCCATGGAATAAGAACGTTAGGCCCGTCGGGCTTCCACTCCAGGGAAAACACCATGGTGTAGCACGAGTAGTCATCAACGAGAACCAAGAAGTAGTGCTTACGGCGTGGCCCATAGACCATGGTTGGGCCCCAGACGTCTAGGTGCAGGGTCTGGAGTGGCGCAGTGGTGGGGGGAAACGGGGAGGAGTGAGGAGCATGGCACTGCCGGCCCTCGATGCAAGGCGTGCACAGAGGCGCGGGTGAGGGAGGGAGGGCAGGGAGCGATGCAGGGAGACCTAAGACAAGATCGTGCTGTAGCATGTGACGTAGACGCGGTAGTGCGGGGTGATCTAGGGGGTGGTGCCACAGCAGCGACGGGTGGGTGAGCGACTGACACGAGCAAGCCGCAACGACCTGCTTAGACACAGCCACCTGGGGGTGTGTCAACAAATATAATTGTATAGATTAGCTAGTATAATGCAGCCACCAGGGGGGACACGGTGCGCAGCATGAACAGGCCAGACCCTGGGTCCAGGGAAAATGTGGTGAGGGGTGCACCAGTGGCGGCCTCAGTACAGACTGCGTACCGCTCGTGTCCAGGAAACGTGGTGGTGATGCCGAGGTCTTGAAGACAGCCGACACCAACCAAGTTCGTAGAGAACGAGGGGATGTGCAGACCTGTAAGAGAGCCTGAGGGAATTGCTGGACAGGGAAGGGTGGTGGAGCTATGTGCAACTACCGGACCGGAGGAGGGGTCGACAAGGAAGACTGCTGCTGGCGCTGAAAGAGGCGTAAGAGTTGTGTGGTCGCGAAAGAAATAGGCGGATGCACCAGAGTCCAGCATGAAGGAGAGCGCGGCACTAGCGTCGGCCAGCGGGGGCACCAGTGTGGAACCAAGACTACACAAGATAGGAGGTCCTACATCTGACGCAGCAAAAGAGCCTAGACTGGGGCTGTCTCAGCGACAAAAGCGAAAACGTCAGAGTAAGTGCACTGAGATGGAGCACAACCCTGGAAGATAAGGACCGCTGCGGTACCACTGGACTGAGCGATAGTGCGCTGGCGGGTCTCTTTCACCGGCAGAGTGGCGACAAAGTCGGCAAGGGTGAGGTCAGCGGGGTGGAGACTAAGGAAGGTGTCACGGGCAGTGGCTAGGCATTCATGGAGGCGCATGGCTAGGAAATAAAGGGTGGCACCAATAGGGGGAGGGAGTACAGTGAGCTGAGCCTCAATCCTAGCAGCGCGGTAGCTAGACTCGAGAGTGCGCAGGTGGTTGGCCACAACAGTAACAGTGGGGAAGAAAGCCAAGTCAGGGAAGAGCAGGGGCAGGAGGAGACAGCCAGTGGAGGCGGAGGGGGGAGTGGAATAGCGAGCGGTAACAGCGTCTACTGTAGGTACTCCTTTGCTGTCTCTAGGGCCTAAAAGCGGGGATGCTCAGACAACGGGAGGGCGTGAATAGTAGCTAGCTGCGCAGTAGCGTTACGCGAATCCCAGACAGAGCGAGCGAGCTCAGTAGCTGTGAAAACCTCACGCTCAGCAGGCGTGGCGGCGTCAGCGAGGGCAGTAGGCGCGGGGGGGCAGGCCAGCGTATTGTCGACATGGACGTCCAGAGACTGGCCATCCTGGCGCTGACCCTTCAGCTGGCAGCGCAGTTCGGCGAGCCATGCTTCGAAATCCACCGCACGACCCTCTGCGTCTAGGCGGAGAATGGCGTATGCCATCACGTACAGTTGCAGCAGCTGGAGAACGCAGGAGGAGGAGGAGCAAGGAGGAGGTGGGTGTGGTATAGAGTTGTGGAGAGCGGTGGAGTGCAGTGTAGCGGGGTGGGGATTGGTGGAGTGGGGTGGAGTGCGGTGGAGGACAGTGGAGACGTGGGAGCGCAGACGGCCGGCGTGGGCGCAGGCACAGAGGAGAAACTAGGGCCGGCAACAGGCTGGGGCCGGTTGGGAGCAGGGGCCGGCGGCGAGCAGGAGCTGGCAAGGCTAGCAAGGGCTGATGCAAGCTGTGGCCGCAGTGGCAAGTAAGGGCCGGCACTGTGAGTAGGGGCTGGCACGGTGAGCAGGGGCCGACGCGATGAGTAGAGGCCGACACGTCGAGTAGGGGCCGGCAACACGCTGGGGCCGACGCGGCGAGCTGGGGTCGGCGAGGCGAGCCGGGGTCGGCTCGGCGAGCTGGGGACGGCGTGGCGAGCTGGGGCCAGTGTGGCGAGCTGAGGCCGGTGGTGAGATGGGGGTCGACACGGTGAGCTAGGGCCCATTTGAGCTCATCACCGATGCTAGCAATCTGGCCGTGGGCGCAGTAATGTTACAAGACTTTGGCGAAGGCCTCCAGCCCATCGCCTATGAGTTACGGAAGCTGAACCTAGCCGAGAAAAATTATCCTGTCCACGACAAAGAGTTACTCGCCATCGTTCACGCTTTCAAAGTCTGGCGCTGCTACTTGACGAGCGCTGACGTGACACTCAGAACCGACCACAAGTTGCTACATTTCATCCGCGCCCAACCGACACTGAATCCCCGACAGATTCGCTGGCTCGACTACCTCGAGTCCAATTTCCACTACAGAGTCACCTACAAATGAGGGATTAGCAACATCGCCGACACACTAACCCGGCCCTCGGTCTACACCGCCGCCGTTCTAATTATCCAAGCTAATCCGGTGCTAACTGGCCAATTCACCCACGGATACAGTACTGACCCATTCTTCACCACTAAGAGTCACCCCCAACTGACGGTCAAGCAAGGGGCCTATTATCTAAAATTCGGTACCAATCGGATTTGGGTTCCCACCTACCGTACCCTATGGGAATTACTAATCTAGAAGGCATATGTCTCAAATTTCTCGAGTCACTACGGCACCGACAAAATCGCCAAATTGCTGAGCCGTAACTATTACTGGCCCGACATGCCGACAGACGTGCAACAGTACGTCATCTCCTGCGCCACGTGTCAACGCATGAAGTCTTCCTGGCTTCGACCCCCGGGATTGCTGCAGCCGCTCAAGCCACCCAACCGACCCTGGCAACAAGTGACGATGGATTTCGTCACTGGCCTGCTCGCTGGTCCAAGTGGTAACGACGCAATCCTCGTCGTCGTTGACCGGTTGACCAAAATGGCCCACTTCGCCGCCTGCAAAACGACAATTACTGACAAGTAGACAGCGAAACTATTCCTGACGAACATCGTGCGGCTACACGGCATCCCATCGGCAATCATCAGCGATCGCAACCCACGGTTCACGTCCAGCTTCTGGACAAAAGCCTGGCAGCAGTAAGGCACACGCCTGCATCTGTCTACGGCATACCACCCACAATCGAACGGTTAAACTAAGCACACCAGCCAGTTGATGGAGCAGCTGATTCGCACGACATGCACAGACCTGGCCCCATGGGAAGACGCCCTTCCCTTGATCAAGTTTTCATACAACAATGCCCCATCGGCCATGAGTACTCAGTCCCCATTCTTCCTTAATTACGGGATAGACCCAACAACCCCTCTATCGCCCCCGATAGAAAACCCGGCACCAAGATCTCAGCAGTTCATCGAAGACCTCCGACAGTCTCAGCAAAAAGCCGCCCATGCCATCCTCAATCCCCAGGGGAGAAGGTACCTTACCGTTGCACGATATGGCATGCGGATTCCTACGGATTGCACACCGACATTGACCTGCCCTTGCTAACATGAGTCATGTGTACAGGCCGTCCACTTCTTTGTTCTCCTGGGCAGCCGTCAGTATGGTAGTCACGGATTACCATCGCGCTGTGCAGTTATTTGAGGAGCCAGGTTCTTCGCGGAAGCTCATGGATTTTGGAGACAGATGCAGACACCTGGGCGGCCAGCATTCCATGCGAGACTATACAGGTGGTTTTTTAGGCATTGGCCTTGGCTGTCGCATTGTCGAATGTGTCCCCCACTCTCTACGTTATCCCTTATCTCGGCACCCAATCCCGCATTTCCCCCGTCTCCGCATTACCTTCAGCTGTGCATTCTCCTCATGTGTGCATTTACCTCAGCTATGCACTTACCTCAGCTATGCATTTACCTCAGCTATGCACTTACCTCAGCTATGCATTTACCTCAGCGATGCACTTACCTCATCTATGCACTTACCGCAGCTAATGCACTTACCTCAGCTATGCATTTACCTCAGCGATGCACTTACCTCATCTATGCACTTACCTCAGCTATTGTACTTACCTCACCTATGCACTTACCTCATCTATGCACTCACCTCAGCAATGCACTTACATCAGCTATGCATTTACCTCATCTCATCGATGCACTTACCTCAGCTACGCATTTACCTCAGCGATGCACTTACCTCATCTATGCACATACCGCAGCTATTGCACTTACCTCAGCTATGCACTTACCTCAGCTATGCATTTACATCAACTATGCATTTACCTCAGCGATGCACTTACCTCATCTATGCACTTACCGCAGCTAATGCACTTACCTCAGCTATGCACTTACCTCAGCTATGCATTTACCTCATCTATGCACTTCGGTCACCTATGCATTTACCTCAGCGATGCACTTACCTAATCTATGCACTTACCGCAGCTATTGCACTTACCTCAGCTATGCACTTACCTCATCTATGCACTTACCTCAGCTATGCATTTACCTCAGCTAGGCACTTACCTCAGCTATGCATTTACCTCAACCTGGCACTTACCTCAGGTATGCACTTACCTCAGCTATCCACTTACCTCAGCCTTGCATTTACCTCAGCTTTGCACTTACCTCAGCGATGCACTTACCTCATCTATGCACTTACCGCAGCTAATGCATTTACCTCAGCTATGCATTTACCTCTGCAATGCACTTACCTCATCTATGCACTTACCGCAGCTAATGCACTTACCTCAGCTATGCACTTACCTCAGCTATGCACTTACCTCAGCTGTGCACCTACCTCAGCTATGCACTTACCTCAGCGATGCACTTACCTCAGCTATGCACTTACCTCAGCGATGCACTTACCTCAACTATGCATTTACCTCAGCTATGCACTTACCTCAGCTGTGCATTTACCTCAGCGATGCACTTACCTCAGCTATGCATTTACCTCATCTATGCACTTACCTCATCTATGCACTCACCTCAGGTACGCACTTACCTCAGCTATGCATTTACCTCATCTCACCGATGCACTTACCTCAGCTACGCATCTACGTCAGTGATGCACTTACCTCATCCATGCACATACCGCAGCTATTGCACTTACCTCAGCTATGCTTTTACCTCAGCTATGCAATTACATCAACTATGCACTTACCTCAGCTATGCATTTACCTCAGCTATGCACTTACCTCAGCGATGCACTTACCTCAGCTATGCATTTACCTCATCTATGCACTTACCTCAGCTATGCATTTTCCTCAGCCATGCAATTACCTTATCTATGCACTTACCGCAGCTATTGCACTTACCTCAGCTATGCACTTACCTCATCTATGCACTTACCTCAGCTAGGCATTTACCTCAGCTATGCACTTACCTTATCGATGCACTTACCTCAGCTATGCACTTACTTCAGCTATGCACTTACCCCAGCTATGCATTTACCTCAGCTATGCACTTACCTCAGCTATGCAATTACCTCAGCTATGCACTTACCTCAGCTATGCATTTACCTCAGCTATGCACTTACCTCAGCTATGCATTTACCTCAGCTATGCACTTACCTCATCTATGCACTTACCTCAGCTATGCACATACTTCACCTATGCACTTACCTCAGCTATGCATTTACCTCAGCTATGCACTTACCTCAGCTATGAAATTACCTCAGCTATGCATTTACCTCAGCTATGCACATACCTCAACTATGCATTTACCTCAGATATGCACTTACCTCAGCAATGCTTTTACCTCAGCTATGCAATTACCTCAGCTATGCACTTACCTCAGCTATGCATTTACCTTATCTATGCACTTACCTCAGCTATGCATTTACCTCAGCTATCCACTTACCTCATCTATGCATTTACCTCATCTATGCACTTACCGCAGCTAATGCACTTACCTCAGCTATGCACTTACCTCAGCTATGCACTTACCTCAGCTGTGCACCTACCTCAGCTATGCACTTACCTCAGCGATGCACTTACCTCAGCTATGCACTTACCTCAGCGATGCACTTACCTCAGCTATGCATTTACCTCAGCTATGCACTTACCTCAGCTGTGCATTTACCTCAGCGATGCACTTACCTCAGCTATGCATTTACCTCATCTATGCACTTACCTCATCTATGCACTCACCTCAGGTACGCACTTACCTCAGCTATGCATTTACCTCATCTCACCGATGCACTTACCTCAGCTACGCATCTACGTCAGTGATGCACTTACCTCATCCATGCACATACCGCAGCTATTGCACTTACCTCAGCTATGCTTTTACCTCAGCTATGCAATTACATCAACTATGCACTTACCTCAGCTATGCATTTACCTCAGCTATGCACTTACCTCAGCGATGCACTTACCTCAGCTATGCATTTACCTCATCTATGCACTTACCTCAGCTATGCATTTTCCTCAGCCATGCAATTACCTTATCTATGCACTTACCGCAGCTATTGCACTTACCTCAGCTATGCACTTACCTCATCTATGCACTTACCTCAGCTAGGCATTTACCTCAGCTATGCACTTACCTTATCGATGCACTTACCTCAGCTATGCACTTACTTCAGCTATGCACTTACCCCAGCTATGCATTTACCTCAGCTATGCACTTACCTCAGCTATGCAATTACCTCAGCTATGCACTTACCTCAGCTATGCATTTACCTCAGCTATGCACTTACCTCAGCTATGCATTTACCTCAGCTATGCACTTACCTCATCTATGCACTTACCTCAGCTATGCACATACTTCACCTATGCACTTACCTCAGCTATGCATTTACCTCAGCTATGCACTTACCTCAGCTATGAAATTACCTCAGCTATGCATTTACCTCAGCTATGCACATACCTCAACTATGCATTTACCTCAGATATGCACTTACCTCAGCAATGCTTTTACCTCAGCTATGCAATTACCTCAGCTATGCACTTACCTCAGCTATGCATTTACCTTATCTATGCACTTACCTCAGCTATGCATTTACCTCAGCTATCCACTTACCTCATCTATGCATTTACCTCATCTATGTACTTACCTCAGCTATGCATTTACCTCAGCGATGCACTTACCTCAGCTATGCACTTACCTCAGCTCAGCTATTCACTGCACGTTGTCTTTGCCTCAGCTCCTCATTTCTCTCAGCTCTGCACTCTCCCCAACACTGCACCTCACTCCGCCCTGCATTTGCGTTGACTGGCTGTCGTTTACCCGTCACTGCAGGTGCCGATGCAGCATAACGAGAATGATTGTGGAGTGTTAGCTATGCGGGTGATGCATACTCTGGTGGAGGAAAGGTTCCATTGCCTGCAGTCTTGTGACCTTGTTGGAAGCCCAAGAATGTGGAGGAGACAGTATAGACGTGACCCGGCGGAGTGGTCTTTCTACTTCAAAATGCATGCACAGATTTAGAATTCATTGCCTGTCCATTTGTATTTGAACAGATTTCTTAAGAGATCGTAAAGAAAATTTCAGATCTGTTGAAACCTCATCCTTGTTCTACCATGATTTCAAGTCAAGGTTTGGAGAACTTGGAGAGGGAGGAGGCTAATGTGACCCCTGAGGGAGCCAACCTTGCTGCTGGTAATAACCAACAGTAAGACGAGGCTATGGCTGATATTAAATTGGTGGACTTGAATTTGGAGAATGAGGGCAATGAAGAGCATGGAGAAGCAGAGGGGATCGATGGAGCAGAGGGGGAGGATGATGGCATTGAGGAATGGTCCCACTACGATGATGTGGCGAAACTCCAGGCACAAGTCTCCGAGCAGAAGCTTACAATCAATCAACAGAAGGGACACATCAACTCCCTCAATATTGCTTTGGCGACACAAAAGGCCGACACGATTAGGCTGCAAGCCGATCTCAATATGGTCTACGGAGAGGTGCAGGATCACAAGCGTCTGCTATATAACAAGGGCAATCAAATCCAGGCTCTGGAGAAAATGTGCGACCAGCTGCAAGGTGTTATTATCCAACTGCAGACTACAAATGCCCAGCTGCAATCTACTATCGCCCCGATGCAACCCACTATTGCC